AGCAAGAGGTGGTGAGAAGAGACAGAGGTGAGGAGGGCAAGGGAAGAAAAGGCTAGCCAGGTCTTACCGGGGTGGCGCGTGGTCCAGAGTGGGCGCGTTGCTTGTCAGGCACAGCTGCTGTGGTGGAACGGAGGAAGGTGCTACCAGGACCTGAGCAGCACCCCCCCACCTGCCGCACCGGGAACTCGGGGAAAGCTGGCGGGGGGTGGGGGTTGGCAGAAGGCACAACAGCAGTCAGTGTGCTGCAGGCGGAGAGGCCACATAGCACCTTGCCCTGTGGGAGGCACCCGTGTGGTCTCAGAAGCGAGGATGGGGGCCACGCAAGGATGGGCCAGCAGCAGCCAGAGCACCAATGGCGGAGAGGGCCAACAGCAACCGGTCCCCCTGGAGGCCCCCAAATGGTTTGATGGCCAACTGGGGCCGGTGGAGGGAAGGCCCCCTCGTGGAAGGGCCTGCAGCCTCCCTGGTTGAGGCTGCGGCAGATGAACGACGCCAGAGCGAAGGGCCATCTTTGCAAGGCAGCCGGCCTCGCCCATCGCCCCATCACCCGCTCGCCGCCTGTCCTAGGGTCGCATGGGCCAAGGCAGGGAGGCTGCCCCCACCCAGCTAATGGCACGCCAGGAGCCTTGAGCGGCACCTGGCAGACCAATGGCCGAGGGAGCGCATTTTCTCTTGCCACCCCATAGGCCAGGGGCCACCCCAAAATGCTTTTATAATATAGGAGAAATGCCCTAATTGTGAAATCCAGTTTATTGGATGTATCATACTAGTGTTATTTCACTGTTTATTAATTGTGCAATCCAGTTTTATGCCATTTTTTCATTATATTGTTATACTGGTTTTTATGGTATTGCTTTTAAAACTCTGTGATTACCTTGAGTCTCAACAGAAGAGGACAATAAAAGAAGAAAATATTGTCATGATGTTGGCCATCATTGTGCCCACATATCTTCAATGACTTCTTTACCATTGAGGTCTGAAGCTATACAGCATAGATCACTTTGGCCCCTGCCACACGGCAGGGAAAACACCCGGCAAAGCGTGGCTAAAAAGAGCCGCATCAAAAAAGAGACGCGCGGGGGGGGGCGCATGGGTCCCGGCCCAAGGATCCCGTGCAACGTGCACCATTGCTCCCCGGTACGATCACATGCCGGGGAGGAAGGGAGGATCAGGAGGGGGAGGCTGCCGAACTGCACATCACGCATGCGCAGTTTGGCTGGGGGCCGGGGATGAGCCGGTGGCAAGACGCGCCACCGATCCCATGGCCAGAGTTATGCGGAGCAAATGGATGAACCACTGAAGGTAGGTGGTTCACTTTTGAAGCGCGTCAATGGGGGAAGGGCCAGATCGGAGACGGGAGCGCAATGCCAGCCAGATGTTGGTGTGAGAACCACGCCCGTTTGCTGCGCTTCCAATCCGGCCCAAACTGCCTCGTATGAACAGGGCCAATCTTTGTCATTTCATAATGGCCCTGGGATTCCATTGTCATTAAACTAAATAACTGTTGCCCATTTTGAAATTCTTGATACCAAAATAGGTTCATAAAACAAAGGTCAGTTCACTAATCCATGGCATTGACCCACCTACACAGAGAAATATGTGAGCCACAGCTGAATGTGTGAAGGGGCATCATTGATAAGCAAGGGGTTATCTTTTTGTGCAGCAGAGTTCCCAAATATGGTACCCAACACCTTTCCTGGTGCCCACACAGTGTTTTTGGAAGCAGGCAGGGCTAGGTGGGGTTTTTTTGTCCAGTAAGGCTTCTAATTAATCACTAGAAATTTGATTGGATGTGCAGATTTTTAAAGATTTGGAAGCACCTGCCACCACAGCACAAGGATCTTCACTATGTACTAAAGGTAAGCTGTGACAGCCATTTTCTGTCTGGCTCCTCATCCTGAACTGGATATTTTGTTTCAGCCATTTTGTACCTGTGCCCACCTTGCTGTATCAAAATTCCAAAGGTGCCTGCAGGTGTCCCCAGTGTAGCAATTCTCCTGCACTTAGTAAAAAGGAATACAGACCCCTGGAAATGCAATAGGGTTTCATGCACATGATGAGAAAATTATCAGAAGTGAAATGGACTTCTACATTAATTCCAAATACATGGGAAATCCAATTCATTGAATCACTTACCATTCTGGTTGGAAAACTTCCCTTCTGGACATGGGACACAATCATAGCAGCAGAACTTCTCCCCTTCTTTCTTTTTCTTCTGAGAACCAGGGCGGCAGAAGTCATTGCACACAGATATGGGCACTGTCTATCCCAAAACATGAAAGACATTTCAGATGGGAGAAATTACACATTATTTAATTGTACATAAAATACGTTTTGAAAGTGAACATTTGAACTAGTATAATGCAGAACTGTATCCAAGCAACAGACAACTGGCATTTTTCTGATCATACCAAATAATATTTATTTGTTGCTTGGATGATGAGAGTTTGGGGACCAATGAAAAGTACTTGATTTTACAACACAGTGTCTCATTCCAAAGAAACAAGGATGGCGGCCATTTTTCTTGGACTGCTTCATGAATCCACCCCCTCCCCCAAGAATGCAATAGCCAGTTTGGTGTAGTGGTTAAGTGCACGGACTCTAATCTGGGGGAACCGGGTTTGATTCCCCACTCCTCCACTTGCACCTGCTGGTGTGACCTTGGGTCAGTCACAAGCTCTGGCACAGCCGTCCTTGAAAAAGAGCAGTTTCTGTCAGAGTTCTCTCAGCCTCACCCACCTCACAGGGTGTCTGTTGTGGGGAGGGGAAGGGAAAGGAGTTTGTAAGCCGCTCTGAGACTCCAAGTGAAGGGCGGGGCATAAATCCAATCTCTTCTTCTTCTTCTTCTTCTTCTTCTTCTTCTTCTTCTTCTTCTTCTTCTTCTTCTTCTTCTTCTTCTTCTTCTTCTTCTTCTATATAACACTGTCACTTTATTCTGGTGTGATACTCTTGTACTTGTCATATTTTATGTCAATTTTATGTACCTATTTTACCCATTTTGCATTCTCTTTTGGTCAAGACTTCGGTCATATAGACCCATAATACATTGAATTGAATTGAAAAATTCAGAAAATAAAATCCCTGAGCCATAAATGAATGGTCTCAAGTATGATGTCACCCCTAAAAAATACTCTGCAATCCATACCTGCTCAAAATGCCTGTGCCATACAATCATATCCTCATGAATTATCAATCTTGTTCCTTCAAGAGCATCCTCATCCACCCTTCCAACTTTCACTCGAAGGAAGGTCTTGTTTGGGAACATGACCATGTTCATAATATCAAATCCAGCTCCCATTTCCTTGTCCTTATTAAAAGACAGGGTTTCTCCGGCTGAATTGTTAAAGGAAATGTCTTGAAGGAGTGACTGGAGCTAGTTGAAAGAGAAAAAGAAACAGAGGCTGGTCCCTGTGAGGGTTCTATTCAGTTGCTTCAGTTTCACTCAACCGGAAGCGGAATCCGAGGCTGTGGTCACACACGCTAAATAACCCGCTTTCAGTACACTTTGCAACTGGATTCTACTGTGTAAACTGGCAAAATCCATTTGGAAAGTTCATTGAAAGTCGATTGAAAGTAGATTATTTAGTGTGTGTGACTGCAGCCACGCTTATACCCCACAGGAAAATATGGAAGCCCCATTTCGTGCCGTGGGACTGCACTGTTTTCTGCCATTCACTGCCAGTACTGCAACTAATCTTTTAATCATTTTTTAAATTTTATTTTTTAAATTTTAATATAAAAACTGCGATACAAAATGGCGACTCTCTGACTACTGTTATACAATGAATAATATCATAAAAAGTATGTATACAACAATAAAAGAAATCTCACTTAGGAAGTCTAGGTTAACAAAATACCAATAATTTGTATTTGGCTTTAGAAATGGTTTCCCAATCAAAAGTGTCAATGTCTATTTTATCTAAAATGGGGTACCAGATATTTAGATGATTAGAAAAGTCACTCTCATTTTGATTATTGGAATGATAAATTGAAAAATTGTCCAACATAAATAAATCCCATACTTTATACCACCACTGAGTTATATTTGGCACCTTAGTATCTTTCCAAAACCTTGCAATTAGAATTTTAGCCTTCCATACCTATACATATTAATGGGGAATACTATGGTATGATTTTTTTTAATTAATTAAACTATGGTATGAATTAGCTTGATCTTGGTCACCAGCACTACATCCGTACACTTAAGAATCTTTGGCCCCGTTCACACGGAGCAGAAGCCACGCTAAATAGACGGAAGAGAGGCGGAGTTACCTGGCACGATCACACGGCAACATCTGGGGAGCGTAGAGCTCCCGTGGTTGAACTGTGGCGAACCGCCGATAAAACGGAGCAAAAAACTAGTACCTCGGAGGTACTAGTTTCCGGAAACTGCGGGGCAAGGGCGGGCGTCTGATCGCGTTTCCGGTGGCATCCGGCGCCCGTCCATGTCCCCTTGCGAAGAAGGTTTTTTTTTTCCCCCAAGTCTCCGTGGTTGCGCATAAGCACTCAACGGAGCATGCGCATTCGTAGTGTACACAAAAAAAGAAACCCAGTTCGCCGCGCCGCGCGCTTCTTCGTTGCGCGCAGGCATGTGTTGTGATCGACGCCTCTCCGTAACCACGGAAGCTCCACGGTACCTCCACAGAACCTCCACAGGAGGTATGATCACTTTACTGCGTGTTAGTTTGCCCCGGGGCAAACAGCCACACTTCTCCCCCGCAGTTTCCTGCGCGTGTGACCGGGGCCTTTGTTGCTTTAGATCCACAGTGTTTCCAGCACTGCGGTTACATGGTGAGTATCTACTAATCTTTTAATCATATTTTAGCATTCTCATGTTCCAGGAGTTTATGATGTTACAGTCAAGTTCAAGAATTTTCAGAGAGCCCTTTATTTTATTTTTTCAGTAATCTTTCAGGAATGATAAAGGGCTATTCACTCAGTTGGCCTGAAACTTGTCCCTGGTCTTATATGCAAGGATTCAAGAACAATCTCTCCCACCCTCTGAATGAAAATTGAACCAATTAATTCATTCTTTCCTAAACATACTTGGACCACCAGAAGTTTTACTCTTTAAATTAATCTTAATGTTACAAAGAAGCTGCCCCCTAATGGTGAAAGTGTGAGGGTAATAAGAGATTTAACAATTGTCCCACCACTGCAAGGAGAACATTTTTTCCAATTCATGCTAACAGTCTGCCGCTGTCTGTTTTAATCAAATAAAAACTGTCCCTTACTGTAGGAAGGAAGAGACCAACATGATTTCCAGGGTATATGCTTTCAAGAGTCAAAGCTCCTTGGGTCAGACACTTTGGAGCTTCGATTCTCAAAAATTGGAAATCCTCTGAAATCATCTTTTGGGGCACCAGAGCTTGAAATGCAGAGAGGTCAGGAATCTCTAGACCAGGGGCGTTGAACTCATTTGTTATGAGGACCAGATCTGACATAAATGAGACCTTGTTGGGCCGGGCCATGCGTGTCATAAAATGTAATGCCACACAACACACAAAGTTTTTTTAAAAAAAACTTAAATAAAACATGCTTAAAACATTAGCACTCTTGCAATATTTTGTTTATTTAACAGTGTCTGATAACTGACACCTCCTGCTCTGAATTATTGCATCAAAATGTGCTGTTGCAATCTTGAGTATGCTGTTCAGGTGTGTATCTGCAGGGCTCTTTTTGTAGAAAAAGCCCAGCAGGAACTCATTAGCATAATAGGCCACACCCAACAGCAGAAATTCATTAGCATAGTAGGCCACACCCCTAACAGCACAGCACATTAGCATATTAGGCCACACCCCCATGCCACCAGAAGTGTGGTCTTCCAGCCACGCCCACCTTTTGCTTCTTATTCTATTTACCTTGTTTGTTGTCAAAACCCAGGGCTATTTTTGTAGCATTTGACCTTAGACTTCTATGCACTGGGAAACTTCCTTTCAAATGCTCATCGCTCTTCCTTCTTCTTTATCCAACCACCCCAGTAGCAAAATGTGCTCCCCTCTCTGTCCCTATCCATTTTTGGATAGGCAGACACTGTAAAAGGTACCTCTGCTCTTTCCTATCCAGCAGGTAGTTTCCTTATAATAAAGCACTAATATTTTTATTCTTAAGTGTACAGCCTCATGTGAAGTACATTCCTAAGTGGCAAAGCAATTCTGCTAGATAAACGCATGCACCAGCAAACACAAGCTCTTTAAAATGCAGTCACAGTGCTGTACATACAATTGACAGTGCAATAAAAAGGGATTACAGTAATGCATTAAACGGTATGATGTATACCATAAAAAGCACAATGTATACAACGAACAATGGAACAAAACTGGATCACAAGATTTAGGAGCCAGTTCAACATAAAAGTGAAGACAGAAAGGAAAGAATGGAAAGTGCTACAGTTTCACAGATGTTAATGGTCCCTGTATTCCATTTATAAGAAGACCCTCCTGGACAATTAGAAAGAGCAAGAGTAGAATGTATAAAACAAGCATGTTCAAAGCAATAAAGGCACTAACCTCCCAAGGCTGGATATCTTGATCTCTTTTTGCTCTGTGATTGGAACTAGGTGAGTACATGGGATGAAGAGCATGGGCCACAGCATAGACAGCATTATAGATGCTATAACTGTGGCCAGAGATATGCATTTCAAAAATATGCCCCCAAAGACTCTCCAGTCTCTCCTCCCCAGTACATGCGTCATTGATCTCTATGAGCCCTTGGGAATCTGAAAATGTGCAATCAAATGCTTGCTCCCAGAAGTCTTTGAGAAAACCATCTCCTTGTGCCCAGTAAAGGTGTATATTTTGAAGAAACTTCTTGAATCCTAGAAGCTCACTGGTGTGAACTGTGAATGAAAGAGCACCTTGGAAGAGGTAGAAACTCATCCCTCTTTGAATGCTGGATGATACGAAATCAATTTGGGATGTCATAATCCATACCTTTCTATATAACACATTTTCCTCATATTTGTGATCTCCTAAAAACATTAAAGAATTCAGCGTTATGATAGTCATAGCTTCTCCACTGATGATAAAAGTATTGGCTTTGCCCCATGTGAAATGCTGGTGTACTTTTAAGATTAAGTCATTCACATCACTCAAGGCGTCCCATTTGCATTGGTTTGGGATCTTTTCTGTAAATTCTAAACAAATTCTGTTCTGGGAGAACAGTGTCTCCATGGCTTTCAAGAAACATTCTCCACTGTCATCATCTGCAGCAAAGAGGCCAACCCAAGTCCATTCAAAATGAAGAAGCAACCTGATTATCCCCATGTACTGAGGGGTTTCATTTGGAACCATGCAGTAAAAGGAAGGGAACTCTGTCACATCTCTCTCCTTGGGTGCAAATGAGCCATATGTGAGCTAAAAGAAAATGTACAGACATTTTAGACATAAATCCAGAAATATAGCGGATTTTCTGGAAAATGATAACCAGAAAGAGATCATCTAAATGTTTCCTAGATTTTCCCATTCCTTTTGCACCCTCTTCCATTGCGAAGCAACACAGTTTTCTACTTGGAACTGTAAAGTTCCAACAAATATTTATTTTTCTTGCAGTCAGAGTTGCCCTTGTTTCATATCTATAGAATAACTCTAGGAAAGAAAAAGGTTCATCAAATCACTCATATTTCCATATGTATATCCGACCTGTGGAATCTTGTAGAGTCCTAAAATGTTTGCCATACGGAAGGAGATAGCAGCACCAAGTCCACCAATAATGGCTATCACATTTTTCTGGGTAACACATATATAATTTGGGACAAAGCCATGTGATTTGAAGAGCAGGTCCAGGGTTGTCCGGTAAGTCATCCTTACATCATAGTAGCTGTCAGAGATATGGAATCCAAGGGTGACATTTGGCAGGATCTGGGGATTCTCATTGATCTCATCTACAGCAAAAGCCAAGGCCAGGGCATGCTGGTAGAACTTGGTCACCATTCTTTAAAAAAAAGTTACATACTCTTTTATAACAAACTTCTACAACAAGACAAGTCATTTTACAATAAATCTGGCCCACTGTGACTCTGACTTAATTTCTTCACTGTCATTGATGTTTCTGAGACAATAAATACCATCCTCTTCAGGATGCAGTTGTGGCATATTATAACAAAAAACATTTCTGCTTTTCATCCCTTTGCCCCATGATGTATCCCAAAATTTATCACTAGATTTTTAAACATTTGGACAATTTAGAAAATTCCATTTTGAAAGAGACAATAAGGATAATTAAGGAAGGGTACAAAGCCCAGAGGCTATAGAAGGAAAACAAACTGTCAGATGATATTCTAGTGAAAAGAGAATACCTTTAAAAGTGCCACTGGGGGAAAAAAAAAGAATGAATGCTCATTTCAGCCAAAAGGCCCAACTTGGGTACCCTAAATGTATTGTGGCTAGATTCCAGTCCAGTAGCATGTTAGAGACCCACAAGATTTTTGGGGTATTCGCTTTCAAGAATCAAAGCTCCCTTTGACTCACAAAAGATTATACCCCAAGAATCATGCTGGTCTCTAACATGCTACTGGAGTCAAATCCAGCTGTTCTACTGCAGCCTTTCCTCTGAAATGAAATGTCTTGAAGGAGCCACATATCGAACCCAACAGAGTAGGTATATACTTGATACTGACACAGCTTTTTGTAAACTTTTTTGCTCGCAGCTTGTCCAACATGCAATGGACATGGATTTTGGAATCCGTTTTAGTTTCCAGGATTTCAACGAGAAAAACATGCTCTGCAAAAAGTTACTGACTGTTCCGTAAGACCTTTGAGATTTACAGAAGATCTTTGCACCCACTGGGTAGGATGAGCCAGGTTTTCACTCAGTCTTCTTGGCCATTTCCCCCTCCTTGCTATACCAAACCCCCTTATCTTACATGGATTCTGGTGTTCAAAGGAACCACTCTCTTTTTTCACTCACAGAAAAGCTGATTGGATGGAACACATTGTCGTAACTCCTTCCACTCTCCATCTCATGGTCTATCCATGCCTACTTCTTCATCAGTAGCCATCAATCATTTTAAAGATTTCTTTAAAATTCAATATTTCATTCATGACTCTTTTAAGTTTTTTCAACCTTTCTTTCTTTCCCTTGATTTCCCCCCATGTATCCATATGTTTTACACTCTCTTATTGAGAGGTCTTTTGAAGATAACTCTTCTAACATAACAAGCATGTAACTGTGCATCAATTAGATGCAAACAAAAATACACCTTACTCCTCCCACATTGCAAATAGACTAAAGACAACCAACAATGTAAATGGAAAAGAAGAATGCCAATATTGGCCTATGGGTTCTACCTCTGAAAAACCTGAAACCTCTCTGTATTTCAACAGACCAAGGCAACATAATTTGGTGGTGGTGGGTGATTCTTACTCTGGAAGGTCAAATAACTGTTGCGAAGGATGTTCCTTGAAATGACTCGTGCGAAGGGTGTAAATGACCTGAGAAGTAATCCCACCAATGAAGAGGTCACCTGACTGATACCACTCATGTGGCACAGGGAGAGGCTCAGTCACAGGACATTTTACACCATCTATACTCCATGCCATGAAACGCAGCAGTGGTGGCAAAACTGCTAGTTTCATCATGCCGAAAAGCTTCTCTCTAGTCTCAGAATATGAGAGACGAAATTGATGACGTCCTGCCTAATCCCTTCTCCCACCTCTCAGTGACACACAGGTCTTTCATAGCCACTTTCAGATTTGTTTTTTTTTTTTCTGGCACCTTCTGAAAAACAAACTGGCACACTTTGGTCAGTGATGGGGATAAGTGCAGGGGAAGCTAATAACCACTGTGAAGTGTGGATCGTAAATGAGGCTCTTGGCAATAAAGTGTTTTTTTCCCCAAGCTGTCCTCTAGATTCCTCAGTCCTGGTGGGACAATGGACAAAGCATTTTCCCCAGATCTTCATCATAAACAACAATCAGCATCCAGCCAAGTCTTTTTTTTTTTTTTTTTAGCTTCTATCATGAAGCCATGAACTGCACTGGAAACATGATGGAGAACATATATTTTAAACATTTGTATCCTGATTTTCTGCAACTGCTCAATCCATCTACCCTGAAAGCAAGATAATGCCAAGCTGCGGTGGGACGCTGAACTGCAGGCTGTGGAAGGTCGGTAGTTCAGCAGTTCAAGACCCGAGTGTGCCGCATGATGGAGTGAGCTCCCGTCTCTAGTTCCAGGCAGCTCCTGCCAACCTAGCAGTTCGAAAGTAAGAAATTGCAAGTAGATAAATAGGTACCACTTCAGTGGGAAGGTAACAACGTTCCGTGCGCCTTGGTGTTTAGTCATGCCAGCCACATGACCAGAGAAATGTCTTCGGACAGCGCTGGCTCTTCGGCTTTGAAACGGAGATGAGCACCGCCACCCTAGAGTCGGATTCGACTGGCTTTCGAGCAAGGGAACCTTTATCTTTACAGTTTTATTGGAGGGAGGGGACCGTGTGTGTGTGTGTGTGTGCACATGTGTGTATGAAAGACTTCTTTTGTTAGTTTCTGTTCTTTACTTCAAAACAGTTATGCCCCTTCTAGAATTATACTCCTCCAGTTTGGTGTAGTGGTTAAGTGCGTGGACTCTAATCTGGGAGAACCGGGTTTGATTCCCCACTCCTCCACTTGCACCTGGCTGGATGACCTTGGGCAAGCCATAGTTCTGATAAGAGCTGTTCTTGAAAAAGAGC